TGCATATACGGACAGTTAGTCTATGACAATGGAAGCAAGAATTTACATTGGGGTAAAGATAGTCTATTTAATAAATGGTGCTGGGAAAATTGGACTGACACATGCACAAAAATGAAACTGGACCACCTCCTTATGCCATATACAAGAACAAATTCAAAATAGATTAAAGACTTAAATTGTAAGACCTGCAACATAAAACTCCTAGAAGAAAATATAGGGTCTAAATTTGCAGACATTAACCTGGGCAATATTTTTACTGATACATCCCTACAGGAAAGGTAAGTAAAAGAAAAAAATGAACATATGGGACTACATCAAACTTAAAAGTTTTTTCATAACAAAGGAAACCATCAATAAAACAAAAAGGAAGCCTACTTAATGGAAGAAGATATTTGTCAATGAGATATCTGATAAGGAGTTAATATTCAAAATTTATAAAACACTCATGCAACTGAACCCCAAGAAAACAAACAACCCAATTAAAAAATGGGCAGAGGATATGAAGAGACATTTCTCTGAAGAGGACATACAGATGGCCAACAGGCATATGAAAAAATGCTCAACCTCACTTATCATTAGGGAAATGCAAATAAAAACCACAATGAGATACCACTTCACTCCAGTCAGAATGGCTAGCATCAATAAATAAACAAACAACAAATGCTGGTGAGGTTGTAGGGAAAAGGGAACCCTGGTGCACTGTTGGTGGGACTGCAGACTGGTGCAGCCACTATGAAAATTAGTATGGAGGTATCTCAAAAAACTGGAAATGGAACTACCTTATGACCCAGCAATTCCACTCTTAGGTATTTATCCAGAAAAACCCAAGACATTAATTTGAAAAAATATATGCACCCCTATGTTCATTGCAGCACTATTCACAGTAGCCAAGACTTGGAAACCGAAATGCCCATTGGTAGATGACTGGATTAAGAAACTATGGTACATTTACACAATGGAGTATTACTCAACTATAAAGAAGAAGGAAATCATACCATTTGCAACAATATGGATCGACCTAGAGAGAACATTATGCTAAGTGAAATAAGTCAGTCAGAGAAAGACAAATACCATATGATCTCACTTATACGTGGATTCTAAAAAACTGAATAAGTGAGAAATGTAAACAGAAATAGTCTCAGAGACACAGAGGAAAAACTGAGAGTTGCTAGTTGGGAGGGGCAGGGATGAAGGAGAAGGGATGAGACAATACAAATTGGTAACTACAATATGGCCCCAGGGATAGAAAAGACAGTCTGGGGAATATAATCAATAATGTTGTAAATATTTTTTAGGGCGCCAGATGGACTCATGTCTTGTTAGGGACACCACTTCATAGACCGTGTAGAGGCCTGACCACCGCACTGTATTTCTGAAGCTGATGTTGAATAATATTGTATGTCAACTATAATTATATACACATATAGTCACGGGACATGGAGTAGAGAGTGGGAATGGAGTCAATGGAATTGTAATAGATAAGTATGATATCGGGGGTGGGAAGGCAGTGGATAGGGAGAGTGTGAGGGGTAAAAAAGATAACTATTGCATTGTTCTGTCCACCTGAAACTAATAAAAAAAAAAGAGTTAAGTAGCTACAACAACAAGACCCTACGGTACTCTGGGGTAGCTCTGCCTGGGTCTGATCCACCCTCACTCAGGAACTTTGCTCAAAAGTACTGCACTGTCTGTTTTGGAAGCCCTGTACAAGAAACAGCAACTGGGATCACTGGCATTAATGTGGCTTCGGGAACAGGAATCCTGCTGTTACTATTATCTATCTGACATCTTTCACTCAGAGAGAGTGTTGGCAGCCATAGCTTGCCATCGAAGTTTCTGTGACTCAGGAAGACAGGAAAGAGCAGTATTTGTTTCTCAAACTTTCAGTGGTACGCTAAATGCTTAAGTACTTAATATGATAAATCCTTTTCTATTAGAAGTTGCCCATACCCAAAGTGGGGATCAAGTTTTGCCTGAGGATGAGTAGTAGAGACACATGCTTCCCTTTCAGGGCTGGAATATGAACACATGCTCCGCTGCCTCCTGGCACGTTTAGGAGAGGAAACACAGTGGTTTAGAAAAGGTCTTCCTCCTGTCCGCATGTGCACAAGGGCCAACTGTTCCTTCTGAGGGCTGGCTCACCTCATTGTCCTGGTGATTAATCTCGCTGAGATTTGACTGTTGCATCAAGACTGTTAGGAGCCTGCGAAGGAAAACAGAAGTGGCTCAAAAGAACAGAATCTGGATGAGAACACAATATTAGCAATAAAGTCTGTTGAAGATGGGCCCTTTCCAGTTATCTAAGGAAAAAACCCATGGAAAAGAAGCCAGCATGGTAGGTAAGAAGGCACCTGGGAGGAATAGAATACCTCTGTCTCTTCTTCCATCTCCTCTGTATCTTAGTGCTTCTGGAGGGGCAAAAGGGGATGGAGAAAGCAAATCTTTAGGCTCATCTTAATCACCATATCTGTGTCCCTATGTGTGCACTTTAAGAACCAACATTTTCTAGTGCTTTTTTCTTATTTATTTATTTATTTAATTGGGGGAATTGCGGGATGGGAACAGCACTGGGGAATTGGGGGGAAGGGGAACAGACAAGTTGCTGTGGTTTTGTTCTTCGGTCTAGTTGTGGAGGACATTGCTTCACTGGCCCAAGTTGGCACCATCATTGTGCTATTCCCGGGCAAGGTAGATCAGTCGCTGGCTTCTGGACAGTCACTCACAGTGGCTGCTGGCTGCTCACGCTGGCTGCTGGCTACACATGATAGCCCATGGCAACCCACTGCAGCAGGGGTTGCAGCCTATGCCGTCACCGTTGACTCATGGCAGACCAACTCCAGGTTGAGCTGTTGTTCAGCATCTTAGCTGTAGAGGGCAGTGTCACTGGCCTTCATATGTGGGATCTGAACTGGAGCCCTCTGGCATCCCAAGCCAGCTCTTAACCGATGTGCCACTCGGCCGGCCCTCTAGTGTTTTTTCTTTATTGATTTATATACACTTATAGAGTGCTTTCAAACTGCTTCACCACTAGGTACATGGGTCATGTCTTTTAAATCTGTAGATCATACCAAGAGGCAGACAGCATTTACAACTTTCCTTGTTCTTTGTAAAACATACACGTATCTAAGCACGAAGTGACACTAATCAGTGTGAAACAACTATCAATGATTCTTAAGTTCAAGTTCTTATCCCGCTTGGGTCCCACACTTGGTTGACAGAAGTCAACACTCTCTCTATGGGAGGCAGTTGAGTATAGTGTTTAGGGGCCCAGACTCTGGAGCCAGACCGCCTGGGTTCCCATCACAGCTATACCACTGACCAACTCTGTGACTGTAGGCATGTAACTTAACCTCTCTGTACCTAAGTGTCCTCCTCATCTGTAAAATGGGGGTGATAAAAAGTGCCTACCCTATAGTGCAGTGTGAGGACTAAATAAGATAATATGCATACAGAATTTAAAGCATGCTGGAACATAGTAAGTGTTATTTCTGGAACACATAACCCTAAAAGTTGTAATCCTGGCCCCATCTCAGAATCCCCTGGGGAGATTTTTTAAAACCACAAATACGTAGGTTCTATATTTAGGGTTTCTGACTCAGTAGGTCTAGTGAGAAGCCCAGCTTCTACAGTATAAAAGAGCTGTTCAAGAAATTCTGGTAGACTGTCAGGTTTGGAAGCCACTGAGAAAGGTGCTGAATGAATTCATCAGTGGATACTCATTGTTACGGACTGAATTGATTCTCCCCCAAATTCACATGTTGAAACTCTAAACCCCAGTGCCTCAGAATCTGACTGTATTTGGAGATAGAGCCTTAAAAAAAGGTAATTAAACTAAAATGAAGCCCTTAGAGTGGCCTCAATCCAATTTACTGGTATTCTCATAAGAAGAGATTAGGACCAGCAGGGAGGCACCAGAGGCATGTGCTCACAGAGGAAAGACCATGTGAAAAGGCAGCTAGAGGGTGACCATCTGCAAGCCAAGGAGGGGAGCTGCAGAGGAAACCAACTCTGCTGATACCTTGATCATGGACTTCCAGCTTCCAGAACTGTGGAAAAGTAAAATTCTGTGGTTTAAGCCACTCAGTCTGTAATATTTTGTCATGGAAGCCCTAGCAAACTAATATGCTCATTAAAAGGATAAAGGACTGTCTATAGGGAGACAATGAAGGGACTTCAGAAATTATTTTCGGAAGAATTGTTTGAAGAATGAAATGGTTTTGCCTCCTCCTCAGTCAGATTTTCATTGTCTCTCAGCTTAGGTAACAACTAAAGTCCTAAGTATTAAATTGCTACCTACAATAGAAGAGCAGATGGACTCATCACATTGCATTCAAGATAAATATAAAGAGCTTAAATAGGAATGGACTTCTGGTTACTTGCAGTGGAGGTGAAATAACCAGGAAGCCTAAGGTTTAAATCCAGTCTCATCACTGTTCTTTTTGGGAGCCAGGATAATACTGTGATTTATAATAATTCTGGCCTCATCATCGCATGGCCTCTCTGAGCTTAATTATCCTCACTTCTGTAATGGAGATAACAGCAGCGGTGGTAAGGACTGAATAACATAACAGGCACAAAACTACTACACAGACTTTAAAGGAACGGTGGCTATGACTGCAAGAAACACATCTCTCTTTTCATTTCTTCCTTTCTGTTTTTTTTTGTAGAGGGCAGTGTCACTGGCCCTCATATGTGGGGTCCGAACCGGGGCCCTCTGGTGTCCCAAGCCAGCTCTTAACCACTGCGCTACGCGGCTGGCCCTCTTTTCATTTCTTAATTCTGCAATTCCTCCATCTGATGGGAAGATGCTGTAAAGATAATTGCATTTGGGGTCACACTGTTTTTATATTTGTAATTATATTCCACTACTGGATATGTGTTCCCCTATTGGTGTTTTATGGGGAAAGGGTAACTAGTCTCTCTCTCTCTCTCTCTCTCTCTCTCTCTCTCTCTCTCTCTCTCTCTCTCTCTCTCTCTCTCTCCCCCCGCCACCCCCTCTCTCATTACTGTCCATTGTTTAATCTCTAGGGTTTATTTGGTCTGAAGTACTGGGGGAGAGTGGGAGAGAAAGGCAAGAGGTCAGCTGCATTCCAATCTGGTTAACCTGGGCTAACCCTGAGCAGACCAGATCTGCAGCAGCCACTCCAGAGCAGAGTGACCACATGAGGGAAGGCAGTAGGGTTCTGTCCAGATGAGAATGGGGGTGGGGACAGAAAGACCTCTTGTCACATCTATGATGGGCCTCCAAAGGTCACGGGATAAACCCTGCACCTGGATACTTTTCTATTTGCCTCTCAAATCCACTCTCTGCCCTGAATGTCCTGCTCTGAGGCTCACTTCCAACGACGTCATCACCCTGGCTCCCTGGCCCTCTGACTTCCCACTGGGTTTGGCCAGTGAGAGAATAGGCAGTAGGAAACAGGGAAGCTACTTGCCTTCCTTACAGTGATTTCTTCCCTGATCAAAGGCCTCGGCTCCTGCCAGGTGGGCCCTCTCTCACAGTCACAGCGACAGCTACCACCACAGCTCTCAGCACGTTCCAATAACAGCTCCCTTCTTCGTGCCTTTCAGCTTAGGGTGGAATATTTTCCTGCTTTTTGGGGGATGGTGGGAGTGGGGGGTTATATCACCAGCTCTTGGTTAATTTTAAATAGTCTTTCATTAAACTTTCTTCAATTCCCTCTTTTAATAATATTCCATGTTTTTGTGTCATGACTCTGATTGATATATGCTAATCTATATTGTTTGATTTGATTTGATTCCTAAGTGTCTAAGACTCATTGATCTCCAAAGCTGGACACAAATTTACAGTTAAGTATTCTCTCTCTCTCTCTCTCTCTCTCTCTCTCTCTCTCTCTCTCTCTCTCTCTCTCTCTCTCTCTCTCTCTCTCTCTCTCTCTCTCTCTCTCTCTCTCTCTCTTCTTTTAAGAGAACAAACTGCCTAAGGCACTGCATTACTTGCGGGGGCCATCACACATTGCCTTGGTGATGCAGCCTGGACTAGAAACCAGGTGTCTAGTTTCCACCTTGGTGCTTCCATGCTGTTCTGCGTACAAAGGTAACCTGCAAGAGACTTGTCCCACATCTATCTTAATTACCAGAGGACTTACAGACCTCATAGGTTTTCTTTTTTTGTTGTTGTTGTTGTTCTATTAAGAGTTCCTGTTTTGTGCTAAGGTGGCCGAGGGGTATTTTTCCCTCAACTCCCCAGCCCAGTCTTCTATTAGCACTGGCTCCAACTATCTTGCTTTCAGGCAGAAGTATAGAGCAGGCACAGGTCCTCACCAGGAGTGACCCCAGACAGGCAGCATGGTGAGTGATAAGAAAACAGATGCTGCGGCCAGACTGCCTCAGTCAGAATCCCTGCTCCATTACCAACTAGCCAGTGACCTTGGGCAAGCTATGAAACTCTCAGTGTCTACGTTTTCTTATCTGTAAAACAGAGACAATAAGTACACCTACTTCTCAAAGATTTGTTGTGACTTGAAATGAGTCAATGCATATAAAGCACTTAGAATGACATTTACATGCCATAGTAAGTATATAATGATTAAATTTTTTTAAAAAAGTTCCTACCTTATTTTGGGGTCTCTTGATCACCACTAAGTGATTGGTAAGCCAGAGAGAGGATGTATCCTGGGGCAGCTTGTTTCTGTGGGCTTCTCTGTTTTGCTGGCCCTTTGGGCTCTCAGCCCTGGATCTGGCCAGTGAAGAGTGTGGAAAATGGTCCCCAAGCCAGCCACTTGCCCTCCTGTCCCTGAAGCTGCCTGGATGTGAGAGTACACTATAGTGAAACATGTACTCAGATTAGAATGCATCACCTGGTAACTAGAGAACAGGACCCCAAAGAAATGCTTTCCTTCCTCTGACTGTAATCAAGAGGAACGAAAAGAGGCAGAGCCGCTGGCACTTTCTGTGTCAGTGAAAAAAAAAAATCTGCCTGTAACCATGGAGACCATGAAAAAGGCCTTCAGAGAGCCCTGTGGCTGCTTTCAGAGGAAATCGATGCTTGCCTTCTAATGGTAGCTTGTGCAGCGTTGTACAAACACAACTCCGTTCTCTTTGGAGCTTTGTCTTAATGATCATGCCCTCTCTTTCACAGGGGTGCCCTCTGAATGTCCCAGAGCCAAGGAAGCAAGAAAAGCCATGGGGAGCTGAAAGGGAGAAAACTTGGACCTGCTGAGAGGCTGAGGGTTCAAAGCAGGAAGGGGAATCATGAGATAAATCCTACACTCCTTTGCTTTTGTCCATCCAACTTGCCTTCATGTTAATAATTATAAATCACTTATCCTTGCATCAGCGTAGATCCCCACTGAGTTGTAGCTTAGCTAAGACTATATATGGGAACTGATTGGTTTGCTTTGAGTTGTTTCCATCAGAGGACCAAATCCCTCTGGAGGCAAAGGATTAGCTGAAGTGTCCCCTTGGCTTGTTTATAAGCAGGTTGTTTGAGCTTCGCTCCAAATAACCTCCAGCAAGCACTGAGTGTAAGGTGCATGCTGTTTGTAAATCTAAGAGTAGAGCTAAACAAAGAGTACGATATCTGACTATGAGGCCACAATGTGGCCCGTACATATGCTTATGATTAGAGGAAAAATACATGCATGTAAAAATAGATGCGCATGCACTAACAAAGGCAGGGAGCGGGGTTTCAGGGATGCCGAATGGCTGAGTTTGGTGTTCATTGGGTTCTAAAGGCTAGCTAAGATCTATATGTGTGTCCCAGCATCAATACAAATAGGAGCGCTGTTCACGCCCTGACGACCTTTGAAGTCAGTGTGTACATATGTCAGTGGGTGCAGGACTGCATGTGCATGTACCTGTGTGTGTGGACATATTTTCTGTGGACCTATGCTTGCTAAGGTGAAGAAGGCCAGGGTGAGAGCTGGTGGGGTGGCAGTAGCAGGAACTCATTGTTTAGCACTGACCTATAGTATTTCTTTACTTCCATCTGCCTTCTGTCATCATGGTCATCATCATCATCATCATCATCATCATCATCAATATCATCACCTCATCATCTTCCATCTATCTTCCATCATCATGATCATCATCATCATCATTGATATCGTCACCCTCATCATCATCACCCCCACTTACTGAATACTGACGATTGACAGTGTTCAGTGCTTTCCACACATTTTCTCATTTTCTTCTGCCTACTTACCTAAGTGCTGTATTATCCTTACATTTTAGAAAATAAAGTGAGCTGAGCCTGGGCATGTTAATTTGCCCCAGATAATATGATCAGTAAGAGATGGAGTCAGATTCAAACTCAGTCAGTCTGACTCCTTAGCTGCCACTTCTGGCCATCCCTTTCCTCAATCCAAAAAGGATTTCAGGTGGTTTTCAGATACATATAGTAAAACAAGGTTACAAGCGAAGAAACTAGGCAAAGAGAAAGCAAGGGTAGGACAAGGACAATGTAATTATGGTCCTACATGTATGCCAGAGGTTGGACACAAATGGGACTTTCAGTTTTTTAAACATGCAAAGAGAGAAACAGTGACCACATAGTGAAAAATTAAAAACCAATTTATCAGGAGAAGCACAGCAATTCCTTCTTTAGTAAATTTTTTTTTCTTGTGGATTCTCATAAAGGATTTTTGGAAGCTGTAATAAATAAAATATTTCCAATGAGATTAGTTTTGTAAGGCTGTTTCTTATAAGGCCTCTCAGGGTAGGGTTATGACAAAATCCGGCCTTTAAAATAAATTCTGTAGGGTCCACAACAGTGAATCCTGGGAGCACAGCAGACCCACTGGCAGGTAGGTTACTTATCTTCACATATGCACTAGGCAACTAATTATCTTCTTGGTGCCTCAATTTCCTCATCTATAAAACGAGGAGAGAGATATTACCTACCACACAGAGGTGTGGTAGAGATTAGATGAGACAGTGCATGGAAAGTACTCAGAACATGGTAAATAGTCAGTGCCCTTGTCATCATCGTCACTGTTGTAAGTATAGACCTATATGCTTTAGTAGTCAGCCAAGCTAGCCCGAGGTTGTGTCCACTTAGGAAAATGAAGCAGTCAAATAGGTTGACATGGCTTAATGGAAGGTCACTCCCTTTTGCATTATGGTTGTAGGATTAAGATAAATACTCACAAACCAGACCAAGATTTTTTTTTTTTTCCTCAGAAAGAAATTCTGAGTTCAAGTTGAAACTCAAATGGGTGAGTGAAGCCCAACTTCTCTGCTATGGAGCACGGCATGGGTAGTTTCTGCTTGAAACATTTAATATAGATGTTCTCAAACTCTGCATGCCCATAATGTTTCTCAGTAAAGCAATAATAAAATTATCTAGTTTTAAGCAATGCAAGTCCATAGGGAATCCTTTAAGGCAAGCTAGTTTAGAATGTTCTCTAGGTAACAAAACCAGTTAATCTGCTATATGGGTTGTTAAGGTTTAACCCAATTCGTTTTTTGGAGAACGCTTATCAGAAATCATGATTTTTGGTTTTGGAAGTTAATCTGAACCCTTGGATATTGCTAGTTACAGCAGCTAGCATTAGCATAACTAAAGTAGGATTTTGTCTTCCAGAATCACTTAAGTGTCCCTTTAGGACAATAAAAATATATCATCACCACGCAGAAGGATGTTTATTTTTCTGACTTCAGCTTTTCCGAAGGTGGTGGCTGGATCATAGGTACAATTTTAAGAGAAGGGAAGCCACAACTGTGTTATCTCAGTTATAGTGATATAGTGTAGATCCTAGACAGTCACTGGTGGGCTTAATAAGAAATGACTAATAAGTCCACAAAAGAGGAATTATCTTGAATTGGTTTTCAATTTATTATTGCAGTGATTTCAGATGATGAGCCTAATCTACAGACCAAATTGACCTTGAATGTGATTTTGACTGACAAGGCTTGGTTTACCCCTCAGGTACAATTGCTTGATGGCAGAGACAGATTTTTACCTTAATTCATGCCCTTCTTTCATGGATTGGAGTCATTGCTGGTAGGTGGATTCTTGGTCAGGGATTGTATTCCCCAGCAGTCCTTACACCCAGCTGTGGCTAAATGACTAGTGTTTGTTCATGGAATGTGAGCTACAGTGAATTGTGTCATTTGCAGGTTAAGGTTTTAAAGAAATAAGTGAGGCTTCTCTACTCTCCTCTTTCCCTATTTGCAGGGTAAACAAAGAGGATTCTGTAATGCTAGGGGATGACAGAGCCACAAGATGGAGAAGTTTGGGTCCCTGAATCACCATGTGGAGAGGAGCCACTCCCAACCCCATCTAGGAACAACTACATTGGAATAAACTTGTATTGCGTTAAAACACTGAAGTTTTGGGTTTTAGTTTTTATAACAGCTATAATTACCATAACTAAATAGGCATTTATATTCCAGACTCAGTTAGGTAGATTTTGAAAGAACCACTCTGAATGAGGCAAGTAAAAACAAGTAAGTAGAGTAAATCAAGGCAGAATAGTCTTAAAAGACACATTTAAAACATGTTTTCTAAAGATTACTCTTTGGAAAACAGTATGATTTTATGATTAAATATTTTTGTGGGTTGTCTAGAGAGTCATTCATTTTTTTCCCTAATACATCAAAAGGAGTCAACCCTTTATGATGTCTATTGATTACTAGCTCTGAGTTTGCTGTTTCTTCTCTAAACTTCCTTGTTTTATTAGGCTTTGAGTAAATCCTAGTTTTCTGTTATTCCTGGATTTAATCCAATGATAATAAGAGGCAAGGCTTGGTTGGGAATAGTCCTGGAATTTCCCAAGCCCTTTTATTTTAGTGTAAAACAGATTGAAATGAAGAAATCCTGTTACCACTCAATCTAGAAGAGACCTTGGTCTCCTCAACCCCCAAAGAGCTTTAGTTTTAGTTCTGGACACAGGATAGAGAGGATGAGGCCCCACAGTATGCACCCCTGGGGCCCAGTTCTTGAGAATGCTCAGTTCCTGTCAGAGTCATGTTCTGTGCAGCCAAGGTTGGGAAACACGCAGAATGTTGCTGATTCCACAGCAGGAAATGCTGTTATCAGCTGCTTCGAGGGGCTTTCAAAGGATTGGAGACTGAAGCCATTTAAACACAGAGGATTGGGGAAGCCACACTTGGTCTGGGCAAAACTTTTTCCTTTGTTGCTCAATCGTCTTACAAAAATGTGGCCTTGATCATTCAACTTATTTGAATATATTTCTTCACACGGCTTCCAGCAGCACACACCCTTGGTTTTCTTTCTAACTTAGTGGTCTCTGTCTCTTCTGTTGGTCCTTTGCCTCTTTCTAACCCGTAAACGTTGGCATGACTCTGAGTTCAGACATTAACCTTTCTGCCCACTCAGCATTCCTTTACCTTGTGTAGTTTTCTTCATAGCATTCATCACTATTTTAAATTAGCGTATTTATTTGTTTATGAGTGTGCCACTCAACTCGTTCACTACAGCGTAAGCTCTGTGAGGTCAGAGACACTGTCTTGCTTACTGTGGAACTGCTTGAGCCTAGAAGAGTACTTGGCTCAGAATAAGCACTCAACAAATAGTTATTGAATTAATAATTGATTAATTGAATGAATGAATATATGAATTCAGATGATGACAAGTAGCATTTCTTCTTAAATCACACTAGGAGAAAAGGGTTTGAATCATTGGAGTTTAAGATTATTCCAGAATATTTTTATTTACTAAGATGTGGTTCTGTCTGCTCCAACTTCAACAAAAAGGATGGATTTTGTTTTTATTTGCCACAGAGGGTTGTAGTAGATGACCTTCTAATCCAAGTTGGGTCCCTCCCAACCTGAATGATCTTTAAACCTGGTTACTTACCTCACATCGGGTTCAGCAGTGGCAGCATGCAGTGGCAGACGGCCATTTTTATCTGGGATATTGTGTTTGGCACCATTTCTGAGCAGACTCACACAGCCTTCCAGCCAACCCTGAAATACAAGAGCAACCACATCATTATATAACACAACCTCGCATAACATAGTCCAACACACTTTCTCTAGTTTTCTTTCCCTTTCTTCTTTGGTTTGGCTAAAAACATGTTTTATTTGACTTAAGTGGTTAAAGCACAACTCCAATGTAGACACCTCAACCAAGGGCAGAAGGTCTTGAGGTGTGGATTCCTGAGTTTTCTGGAGGACCTTTACTCTGTCAGATGTAGACTGATTCCTAGACTCTCTCTTCTGCCTTCCCCTCCCCACTTCTAGGGCCACTCACTGGTATTTCACTTTCATACTCATTTCCTAGGGCATGAGATAGGGTGTGATTAATCAGCTCTAGCCTCTCTTTCTATGGGATTCACTCCAAATTATGCTTGTCAATGGACTGATCTGCACGCCATGGTCTAATTCCAAAATGTGGGCTCCTGTATCATTCTTGAGCCCCAGCTGCCACTGTATGCCTCAGTTTACCTATATCTGATAAACAGGCCTTGGTCCCCTCTTTCCAAGTTCCCTTTCTAGTAACCACAAATACACTATGTTGTTCATCCTAGTCAGTCCCCCTCCCAAAACCTAGAATCCTAGTCTGAGCCCTACTACAATGATTGGGACTCTGCCATCTTGTTGACTGACTTTTCTGATGTTGAATATGGAGGTATCACCAGCACCCTCTAAAGGTTCCCCATTGCTGTGTTTTACCCACTTATGAATTCTCCAAGACATGTTGTGTGAACTCCCTGCTGTCTACTAATTCCCCAGATTGAAACTGATACCGCCACATCTCATCCTTGTCCCCTCCTTGGTTAGCCCTTATAGGTGGGTCATTTCCCCACTGTCTTTCTCATTTCAAAGAGCAGATATAATTTCTGGCTAGTCTCCATTTCTGTTCCATAGTTTTTAAGTAACTAACCCAATCCTACTGATAACCAAGTTTGGCTCACCTGCCAAGGAGAATGCCTCCTACATTCATCCACAACCACTTGGGTTACTCACTCAATTATACATAGACTGATACGTAGATAAAATTATTATTATGAAGAGTGATACGGTATCTTTCTCTACGACCTTCCTCCATTCATGTATAGTTAAGCCTCAAGATTACCCGCCAAGATGAGAAGATGCCTGACGATTTTCCCTCACAATATGGGAAGCAATAAAAATAAAAATGTTATTAAATGCATGAAGAAGGAGAAAGATAATGATAAGGAAAGGATCTTTTAGTTCTGAAAACTCTGGAAAAAATCTTTCAACAAAAGCACAGCAAAGTTCATAGGCTATAATATTGAATATGATTTTGTAGAATTGACCAATATCTAAATCTTAATAGATGCAAATATTTTTAAGTCTTGAGTCATAGTTTACTAATGCATTAAGTCTGGTTTTAGTTGCCAATGTCCAAGTCATCAAGTTCTATGATTAAGAAAGAAAATAGACCAGGAGACCCAAAATAAAGGCATACTGGACAAATTTCAGAGTTGCCAAATTTTTATAGTTTTGAAAAACAAATCTGATGGGGGAGGGTCTGGAATATTTTTTATCATTTTGCAACATTTCCTGGAACTATGTGTGTATGTGGTTTTCTTCAGAAAACTATTGAATACATCTGAAACCCATGGTCACTATTCAGAACCAACAAATGTGTTTTGTACCTATTAGGTGCTGGGTGATTCTGCATGTGTCTCTCCTTCAATTGTGATCAACTTAGGGTATTATTTTTACTACATTTTACAAATAAGGAAAGAGGCAGCAGCCTTGTCTAAGGTTTTACACCTATGGTAAGTTTGTTTGTATACTGAATTTGGAGCTGTGACTGAGACTTAATTTCTAAGTGCCCCCTTTGCCAAGTTTCTCTTTTATACTCGAATTCAGACATTGCCAGGGGTGATAAGCTTCTGAGTGCAATCCCAGGATACCTTCCTCCCCCTACCCTGTGCCCTTTCCATGAAGCCTCAGAGAGCAGAGGGGTCCTGCCTCGGGTTGCCACACAGAGGTGGGTGCATCATTAAGAGGGCGATGCCACATGCCATCATGCAGGCAAACTTCCCTCACATAGCTCTTCAGAATTAGTTCCTAGAGTTGTCTGCAAAAGTGGCACCTTTCTAGGCTCACTATTTAAGGCAATGTAGAGGAGTTACTTCTCAGCGCTTTAAGGAGCTATCTAAGCCAAGGTATTAGAAATTTTGAATTTTAGAATTTGGAAATAAGTGCAGCTTGGTTTCACTTTATTTCTAAATGCTAGTAACAGTCAACTTTAGAAACCATCTCTACTTCCTTCCTCCAACCCCTGATTCAAATTTTCTCTTTTCCTCTGCTCGAAGACACTAAAAAAATAAACTATTAGGGCATACGGTAACAGGGAGGGTGTCTGAGAGGGCAGTCCTATGTCTTTCTGAGATATTAAACTTCACCTCATAGGTCAGTGGTTTTCAAACTTGAGCATGCATAAAAATTTCCGGGAGGTTGATTTACCATGCAGGACCCCCCCGCCCCTCCACCTGCTCCCAGTGTCTGACACAGGAGGTCTAGGGTGTACTCCAGGAAACTGCATTTGAAACAAGCACTCCAATACTTTGAAAAATTCTTCCCAGTTTTGTGTGTTGAGTCCTAAAGAAACAGGACATGCAAATAGAACATGAAAAAGTAGTTTCTAAAGACAATCTCTGTGAGAACTGGGTAATGCCTTATCGCAATCTATGCTAGAGCTTGGCAGGAAGGTATGGTGCTGGGGAGGGGAAGTGTTCTATGTCAGCGCGGCAGCTTCAAGGCACCACGGGGCTAGCCCAGGTGAATCCACCTCCATCAATGGGCAGCGACAGCAAAGGCAAGAGGCTGCTTTGGCAGCAGGGTGGTTATGGTGAAGGTTTCCAGGAGCCTCATTGGAGGGGAAAGAGAATGATGACCCTCTTGTGGCCCTAAGGAGGACTTGTTCGACAGGGACTGGAGTCTCCCAGGAGGATTTCAGGGATGATTTGAGAGGAGAGGGGCTTGAAGATTTTCAGTAAGCCTTACCAAACTTGCTCTAATGTCAGGAAACACTGGACTGAAATTTCTGTGACAAGGACTGACTCGATGCAATTTTTAAATTGAGCACAGACTATCGGTGGAATCCTATGCTTGGTGTTGCTGCTTAAGAGCCTGCTGTTTCTCCCCTACTCCCTACCTCTACTCTTTCCAGTTCTCATCATTCTCCACAGTCCTCATCCTCAACCTTCCACCCAACTAATGCTACCTGCAGATACCACCTGCAGCTTTGAGTGCTACTGTCCACTCGGAGTATTAATGGAAGGCCTTCTTAGAAGGGGTACCAAGTGTGTCCAGAAATGCCCCATGGGAAATTCTGATGCAGTTAAGATGGGAAAGACTATTTCCCTAATGGCAATATCATCTCTAACTTAGAGGGTTGTTAGGAAGATCCAAAATGACTTAATTCCATGAAACCAACTCTAAGTGGTGATATAAATGTCATAGATGATTGTTGTAAAGCTTCAAGTTCTATTTCCATTGGCCAGCTGCATAATCCAAGGATGCACTTCTGCAGGTAGGACCCTCTAAAGACACATTTAGACCACCCTACTCCTCACTGCCCGTGACAGATACAGTCAGTACCAGATAGGTTGCCAGGCATAGACTCGTGCGGCCATAAGCGTCCTGGGTGTTAATATTGGCTCCCATCTTCAACAGCAACTTCACTGTGTCCACTTGACGTCCAGAAACCGCATGCATCAAGGGTGTACATCCTGGAATGAGACATTTCAAGACTTTAAAAACATGTTTGGCTTGTAAAATGTATGAGCAGACTTTATTTGCCTGTTCATTGATTATGCTTATTGCCAATAAATGAACTCCCCTCAACACAAACCCAGGAGTTGAACTATATGGGATTGAAGGAAGACAGATAGATGAAAATGATTGTTGCTACATTTATATAAACTGTGTATTTTTCTGGCCCTATTCAATCTTCTGTAACTTTGCAGTAATTGGTTGATTAAAACACATTGATTGCACAGATGATAAAAATTGCTGATTAATACTTTGGGAAGCAGCATACTTTGGGAAGTAACAGGTAGGTTTATCCTGACTTGGCTTGCACAATGCAGAACCTGGAAGTGCCTTTGGAGGGCAACCCCAGCCAGGCAGACAGGTCCAGCACATTTTCATTGGAAGGTGCGGGTGATAAAGAAACGACAGTGATGGTAGCCTAGCCTTGGGCTGTACAAATTCTTGCCAAAAGGGGCCATCTTTACTGAAATGCTTCTCTGTATTTGGAATCAATATAGGTCAACACATTTAGTTTTTCATGTGTTTTATTCCTGAATAAAAATAGAGATAAAATTACATATGCTGATTAACTTTGCAGGGCTGGTGGAACAAGCCAGACTGGTGAGGCGACTCCAGGTGAAGAAATGGAACAGCAGACACAATCCCCTGCCCAGCTGAGGCTTGTTTAGATGTCTTTTGATTGGACATTCATGTTGAGGTTGTGATTCTTCTCTGAATGAATCAGATTCCAGGACTGCTGCTCTCAGTGAAAGATTGTAACTGGCAATCCAAATTTTCTCCAAATCTTTCATTCCTAATACTCTTTCAGGCATCTGTACTTACTAAAAAACAGCAACGAAGTGCTATGTCTTAAACAGTTACATCATTCCTTCCTCTCCCTCTCCCTCTCCCTCTCTCCCTCCCCCTGCACTCCTCCCCCTTCCCCCCCCCTCTCCTTTTTTGCTTACTGGTGTCAAATTCCTCCAGCACCATTTTTTTTGAAGAGGCTTTCTTCCACTGTATTACATTTGCACCTTTGTCAAAGATCATTTGAGCACATTTGTGAGCCTCTTTTTGAGTTCTGTTCTATTCTATTGAGCTATGTGTCTAGCCCTCAGCAATATCATTGATTTCTGTAGCTATACAATAAGTCTTGAAATTGGGTAGACTGATTCCTCTCACTCATTCTTCTTTTTCACAATTGTTTTTAACTATTTTAGTTTCTTTGCCTTTCTATATAAATTTCAGATAATCTTATCTGTATCTACAAAAATGTCTTGCTGGGGTTTGATAGAAATTGCATTAAACCTGTGTATGAATTTGGGGAGCTTTGCATGTTTATTATAGTGAATCTTCTAATCTGTGAACATGATATGTTTCTCCATTTATTTAGATCTTCTCTGATTTCCTTCATTGGCATTTTATAGTTTTCAATATACAAGTTCTATACATATTTTGTTATAGTCACATCTAAGTATTTTTTATTTTTTTAATTGATTAGTTTTAAATGGCATTGTGGTTTTAATTTTGGTGTCCCTGTGTTCCTTTGTGGCATATATAAATACAATTTGTTTTTGTGTATTGAGCTTATATCCTGTGACCTTGCTGAACTCGCTTAGTTGTAGGAGTTTTTGGTAGATTCCTTAGATTTCCTGTGTAAACAATCAAACCATGAAAAAAGGAACAGATTTTTTTTTTCCTTTTCAATATGTATGCTTTTTATTTCCATTTCTTGCCTTTATGTACTTCTGGCACTGTAATGAATGAGTGAGAGTGGGTATCTTTGCTTTGTTCCTGATCTCAGGAGCAAAGCATTCAGTCTTTCACCATTAAGTAAAATGGGGTTTTGGTAGATACTCTTTATCAAACTGAGGCAGTTTCCCTATAGTCCTATTTTTCTGATAGTGTTTAATGAATGTGTGCTAAATTTTGTCAAATGCTTTCTTTGCATTAATTGATATCATCATGTGATCTTTTTCCTATAGCTGGTTAATATGATGACTTACATTGATTGATTTTCAAATACTGAACCTGACATATCCCTAAAACAAGCTCCACTTGGTCCCTGTGTATAATACACACACACACACACACACACACACACACACACACACACACACTCATGCATACACCCTGGGGGTGCCAAAAATATGTATACAAGTGGACACTATGGTCAACGTTGCTCAAGCAGTAGTTCGCCGTAATCAGAAGTGTCTGGATGCTGATGATGGTAACCATTTTGAGCACCTCTTGCAATTGCAGAAGTCAAGTGTGACTTGTATTCATCTTTTATTATCGGTATATATTGAGTATTACAATTTTAATACAGTTGTTTCCTTTCTTAAAATGTGTATACAGTTTTTTGGCACCCTCTGTGTAAGTGTGTGTGTTTGTGTGTGTGTGTGTGTGTGTGTGTGTGTGTATGATTCATATATATATATATATATATATATATATATATATATGAAACTGAATTCTATTTTCTAATATTTTGCCAAGGATATCTACATCTATATTCAATCCATATTCCTGAGGAGTATGGGTCTGTAGACTTATTTTTTATATAATCTTTATCTGGTTTTGATGTCAGGGTAATTTAGCTTCATAAACATAGCTGAGAAACGTTTCCTCCTCTTATCTTTTCTGGGAGAGATTATACAGAATTGAAATTATTGTTATTTAAAAATTTGTAGAAGTCTTTAGTGAAACCATCCAGGCCTGAATATTTGTTTATCTGAGAAATTTAAAATTAGGAATTTAATTTCCTTAATAGTAATAGGGCTATTCATATTACCTATTTCCTATTGGATTAACTGTGGAAGTTTTGTCTTTTTTTTGAGGAATTAATCCATTTTATCTAAATAGTCAAATTTATGTGTGTAGAGTTGTTTTATTTATTTATTTATTTATTTATTTATTTATTTATTTATTTATATTTAAAAAAATATTTTATTGGGGAATTGGGAGAGCGGAACAGTGTTGGGGAATTGGGGAAGGGGACCAGCCAAGTTGTTGTTCTTCAATCTTTGTTGTGGAGGGTGCCAGTCACCATCTGGCATCCCGTCGGCAGTTCATGGCCTCTAAACTCAAGGTGCTGTGTTCAATCTTAGTTGTGGGTCAGCGTAGCCACCATCCCATGCAGGAGTCGAACCAGCAGCTTGTTGTTAAGAGCCCACGCTCTATCCACTAAGCCATCTGAGCGGCAGCTCAGCTCAAGGTGCTGAGTTTAGTCTGAGTTGTGGGTGGGCATAGCCCACCATTGAACAGGCAATCTTGTTGTTACACCACCTGAGCCATCCTGCCACCTGTTGGCAGCTCAGCAACAGCTCAGCTCGGGCGCAGCGTCACTGGCCCATGTGGGAATCAAACCGGTGGCCCTGTTGCTCAGAGCTCATGCTCTTAAGCCAACTCTTAATCAACTGAGCCACTTGGCCGGCCCTTTTTATTTACTTATTATCCTTTAGGTATCTGCAGTATCGTTGGTTTCATTCTTGATAGTGGTAATTCATTTTTTGTCAGTACTATTGCTAGCAATTTGTCAATTTTATTGATCTTTTCAAAGAATCAGTTTCTTGTTTCATTGATTTTTCTATTGTTTTTCTGCTTTCAATATCATTGGTTTCTAGTCTTTATTATTTCTTTCCTTTTGTTTACTTTGGGTTTATTTTGCTCTTTACTTTCTTGGCACTTCAGGTGAGAATTTAGATTATTGACTAATACTTTTCCTCTTTTCTAATGAATGTATTTTGTGCTATAAATTTCCCTCTTAGCATTACTTTAGGTGTGTCCCACAGATTTCGATATGTTGTGTCTTCTTTTCCATTCATAGTCGTACAAGTCAGGATTGAACCCAATCAGTCTGGCTCTTACACTTATCACACAAAGTGGTGTTTAACCTTTGACTCTCCTCATTTCCACTTCTAGCCCCAAGGCAGATGCATTAGTAGTTTGCTCTAAAAACAAGCAAATAAATGAACAAACACTACCAAGGATACATTAGGGAGCGCCCACTTTACTTTACAAAACACTTTGTTGTCATGATAAGGGAATCCAAAGCTCCTTTTGGGACAGGTCAACTGGTTAAAAACCATCAATGACTTCCTAGAAATACTGGAATGGATAACCAATGATAGCTCTTTTGTTATAATCCTATAGGTCTCTAGGCTCTATTCTTTCTTCTTTTTTTTTTTAAGCGTATTTTCTTTCAGTTGTTCAGATTGGCTCATTTCTGCTGCTGAGCTTATCCACTGAGTTTTAAATTGTGATTACTGTATTTTTTTTAAAAGATTTTTATTGGGGAATTGGGGGGATGGGAACAGCGCTGGGGAATTGGGGGAAGGGGAACAGACAAGTTGCTGTCCTTTTGTTCTTCAGTCTAGTTGTGGAGGACGTTGCTTCACTGGCCCAAGCTGGCACCATCATTGCGCTCTTCCCGGGCGAGGCAGATCAGTTGCCGGCTTCTGGACAGCTGCTCACTGCGGCTGCCGGCCGCCCACGCTGGCTGCTGGCTACACATGGTAGCCCATGGCAACTCACTTCAGCAGGGGCTGCAGCCTACGCCGTCGCCAGCAACTCCCAGAAGCCCAGCTCCAGGTTGAGCTGTTGTTCAGCATCTTAGCTGTAGAGGGCAGTGTCATGGGCCCTCATATGTGGGATCCGAACCGGGGCCCTCTGGCGTCCCAAGCCAGTTCTTAACCATTGCGCCACTCGCTCGGCCCTATTGTATTTTTTTCAGTTCTAAGATTTTCATTTGGTTCTCCTATATCTGTTATTTCTTTGCTGAGTCTGTTTTTTCATCTTTTTCAAGCATGTTTGTAATTGTTCACTGAAGCAGTTTTTTTTTATGGCTACTTGAAAATCTTTATCAGATAATTCTAACATCTGTCTTCTCAGTGTTGACATTTATTGATTGTAGTTTTCATTCAGTTTGAGGTCTTCCATGGAACACCACAAGTGATTTTTCTATTAAAACTAGGACATTTGGCATATTGTGTCCTGAGTCGCCTAATTTTACTTAAACCCTCTATTTTATCTGGCTTCCTCTGACACTACTCCAAAAGGGAGGTGAGGGGAGGTGCCATTAGAAGTCCTTGTTCCCCACATAGCCTTCATTGACATGAGGTGGAAGGCTCTTCATTACTGCTGGATGATGGTGAAAGTCCTAATTCTAACACCACAACAGGTAGGGGGAGGGGACCTCATTACCACCAGGTGGAGAAGGAGGCCCAGGCTCCCTGCATGGTGGTTCCTGGAATGGGTGGGGTTGAGCCCACAGGGTTTTTTTGGTGGTGTTTGGCTGGAGTACAGTCATTGTTGTCTAAAATTTTTCTGTCTTGTCAGGCTGTTCCTATCCTGGTTCTTTGGCTAAAGAGAGCAGGCTTCTGTTGGGGTTTTTTTTGGTCTGTGCCCGTTGAATTTCTGGATTGCTGGCTTCTTTAGCTCTAAGTCTGGGATATACGAGGCAAAAGGAAACTCCAAGAAACTCACCACCATGTCATTCCTTGGGTGCCAAGGTGCCAGCCAGTCTGTCATTTTAACTCCACCTTCCAGAATATTCTTGTTTATTTTATATATAATGTCTGGGGGTTTTAGTTGTATTTAGCAGAAAGGTTAAACAAAAAAGTACATCTCCTGCATCTTCCCAGAAGCAGAAGTCCTTGCTCTCTGCCTTAACAATCACACTGTCCCAATGTCCCTCACTACCAAAAGCCACACCGTCCCAGTGTCCATTGCCTTTTCTTTCCATACCCCTTTTCTTGGCCTAATTACTTTGTCATTCATACAAAGAAGTTGAAAACAAACTCAAACCAACTGGCTTCATCATAAGAAGTGATGTAAATGAATTTGAAGCTTTGTATCCAAGACCTTCATTTCAAGAAATACTGAGGGACCTGCACACAGCCTCCGACAGGCCACTTCTTGACAATCCAGTATCAAAGTGGCCTGTCAGATGTAATTTTACTAACATTGCTCCCCTCTGAAGTCCCTCTGAAAGGATAAAGCAGAATGTTCTGCAGGACTCAAAATGTATACATTGCTCACCTTCACTGTCACAGCATTCTAGGATGGAAGGGTCTTCCCGAATCACTGCGGTCAGTGCATTGACATCCCCATTAGATGCTGCCTGGTACACCATGGTCAGGTCAACCTCCTCAGATGAATCACCTTCATGAATCAAACAGACATGTTAGTGTGTGGAGCAAATTCACTGAAAGAATAACACCCAAAGCGTCACCCACACAAGTGATTCATGAAAACCTCTCTGGTGAATCCAGGCAGGGGGCTGAGTCACCCTGTTCACATGCACTCTCACCACTTCTGAAGAAAGTTAGACCAGTGTGGGCCATGTTGTAATGTCACCATTACAACATGAGAAGAAGCCTAAGGTATTGGCTGTGCCCTGAGATTTTATGATTCCCTCCAGGTATTCAGTCTTTTTGAAATCAGTGAGGCCAGGTAGGAAAGGGGGGCCTGCACCTTCATTCCAGGTTTCCCTTTTATATCTGGGACACATTGCTTTTTCCTTTCAATGACTCAGTTTACCTAACTTTGATAGAGACATTGGACACCGTATTCTCTGTCCTCTGGATGTCCTCTCCACCCTTTTCCTGCCTTGCTTTGTACCCTTGAGGGCCAACCCTTGCTGATGGCATCACCCAGGACCCCTCCTGCTCTAGCTTGCCCATGGAGGCAGTGGCAGGAGACTGGTGGGGAGAAGTGAGGGCGACACTGAACATGTCTTCCTGCCATCCCCCTAGTGCAGCATCTAGAAGTAGCTGCTTCTCTCTGACCAGGAAGTTCCTCCTCCCTAGAACCAGCTTTCACTGGGCTCCCTCTGGGAACACAGATTGTTTTCAACTCTGCATCCTCTTTGCATGCAGTCCCTTCCTGAAAGCTCCTTCATTTGAACCTCTGGGGTTTCATGATATGGTGTTTTCAGAAGGAACAGAGCTGTATGCGACTCCTTTGAATTTGGTAGCCACCTGTATTATACCTTTTTGCACAAGTGAACCAGTAGTACTGCGAAAGGTGACAACGAAAGCGTGGGTCAAAGGACCCTAGGGGAGCAGTGGAAGGACTGGAAGGTGAGTCCTGCTCACAGGGAGACAGACCCCTACTGAGATGCTGGGCTGAGCCCCTTTAGGATTTCTCCCACGCATAGCCCTTGTTCAGGGAAAATATGCATGTGTAAGAAAAGTTGTGTTTTTTTTTAAATTGAGTTTTTCTACTAACGTGGACATTGTGCCAGAAATGCTTTAGAGTTCTAATAGATCTTTAGTTGGCAGTGGTCCTAACACTTTGGCTTGCTTTCTCTGTCCCAGTATTTCTGGGAAGTCATTAGTGATTTTTTAACCAGTTGGCCAGTGCCAGGAGGAGCTAGTTATGGAAAATCATTCACTTATGACAATAAAAGTGAGTAGTTGCTCTCTAATTTATCTACGATAGGTTTGTTGTTATTGTTGTTGTTTTTAAAGCTGATTCTCCTGTATATTTGCCCGGGAGCTGTAAGTGGGAGGTGAGAGGTGTCAAGGTCTCTGCATAAGTGCACGGGCTCTGGAGCGCCATCACTTGGGTTCAAATCCTGATTTGCATTAACCAGCTGTGTGAATTTGGGCCAATTACCCTCTCTGAACCTTAGTTTCCTTATCTTCTTTCCTTAGATTATGATGATTATGACAATCAACTATCTCATAAATTTGTTGTGAGGAGTAAATGAGTTAATATTTAATCCTCTGTGCTTTTAGAACAAGGCATGACATGTAATAAATGCCGCAAATATTTTGCTACTATTACTGCTACTTTCTCTTTTCTTGTGGGTTTAGAGATCATTAGAAATCTGAGGCATGTAGATAAAAAGGTCTTTCTTTGATGATGGCTAGATAAAGAATCCATATGTTGCATACAACATTGTCTATTAGAAACCCTTTCACGAGTCTAGACATTTTGTTAAGATTGCTCATGCATGATATCCTTGGGCACAAGAAACAGGCACCAGACTTCAGGACGAAGATAGGCCTGGTATCTGGTTGTATGACCACATCTGAAGGAGCTGGTGGTATCACCTTAGAGGGAAGATCCTGGTGGTGGGCTGAGGAGCTCTGTATTTATAGCCTGTTTATATCTTACATGTTATATAACATATATAAACATGTTTATAATGTGTTCATTACTGAGTGCAATAAAATCTATAAGGCACATTCATCACACTGCTGAGCATACACAACTTGAGAAAGGACATCATTGCCTGATAGAATGAGGATACCAAAATAACTTGCCAGAAGGATTCTAATAAGATTGTATTTGTTGGAGATAAACATAGGGTAATGTATCTTAGTCCAAAATCTACCCGATGGAACTAACTGAAAGATTGTTGAACCTATTGTTTTTATTGTTCAACATCCCCTCACCCTCTTGGTGACCTTAACCTGATTATTTTCCAGGGATTACCTCCCCTACACCTGCAACGCATGGGCTGATTCAGTGGAGTTGACTATATCTCTGTTCAGGGGCAGAAGATGTGATCTAGAACGAAGCCTTCAACACAAGCCTTACCCTGGTCACACAGATTGGCTCAGGGATGTGCCCCACCCAGTAAGAGCCTTCTATGAAAGGCAAGAATGCTTTGACTGGGATTGCTGGGAGTAATACTCTTGCTTTGTTCCACTATCCATGAAACTGGGAGCTATGGGTGGAGAGCCTAAGAATAAAGACAACATACGGAGAAAGGCAGAGCTGGGATAAGAGAAGGAAATAATTGAGACCTGGTGGTATAATTTGAACTCCTGAATCAAACCACAGCTTATGCCAGCACCATCTGTGGAACATTTATATGAGCCAATAAATTCCTTTTTTGCTTAAGTCAATTTGCATAGATTTTTTGTGTTTTTCTTTTTAATAACTTAAAGAGTTCTAACCAACAAAAGGTTTTAGTGGCAACACATTAGAAAAGAAAGTAGGGTTTTAGTTGGGCAGTTAGTGCTACAGAAATGAACAGTGTGACAATAAACTAGTGGGAACTCTGGCTGCATTAATAATAATCTAGTAATTAGACTGAAGGAGGTAATAGGCCTTTTCTATTTTCAACTGGTTGAGGTCTATGGCCCATAGATTAAATGGGCTATAGGTGCCTAGAGAACATTCAGAGGTGAGTGACTGAAACCGGGTATGAATGGACTTCATGTCACATAATGACTAGTGGAAGGAAATAGGTGTTTATCCTGGAGAATACTATGGGTCATGATGGTAACCTTTAGATATTTGAAGACCTTTTAAAAAAAATTTTTAGACTAATTGTGGTAAATATACATAACATAAAAATTGCCATTTAAACCATTTTTAAGTGTATAGTTCAATGGCATAATGTTGTGCCACAATTAACACAATCACCACAATCCATCTCCAGAATTTGTTTCACCTTTCAAACTCTGTACCCATTAGACAAAAACTCCCTATTCTTCACTCCACCTCACCCCCTGGAAACCAGCATTCTACTTTTTGTCTTTGTGAATATGACTAATCTAGGTATTTCATATAAGTGGAATTAATAGTATTTGTGCTTTTCTGACTGGTTTATTTCACTTAGCATAATGTCCTGGATGTCATCTATGTTGCAACATGTGCCAGAATTTACTTCTTTTTAAAGGTTGAATAATAACACATTGTATGTATATACCACATTTTGTTTATCCATTCATCCATTGATGGACACTTGGGTTGTTTCCATTTCATGGCTATTGTGAATAATGCTGCCACAAATATGGGTATACAAATATCTCCTCCAGTGTCTGCTTTCAGTTCTTTTTGGGTATACACTTAGAAGTGAAATTGCTGGATTTTTTTTTTTTTTTTTAGGATTTTATTGGGGAATCGGGGAAGGGGAACAGACAAGTTGCTGTCCTTTTGTTCTTCAGTCTAGTTATGGAGGACGTCACTTCACTGGCCTATGTTGGTATTATCATTACGCTCTTCCCGGGTGAGGCAGATCAGTCGCTGGCTTCTGGATGGCCACTCACAGCAGCTGCTGGCTGTTCACGCTGGCTGCTGGCTACACATAGTAGCCCATGGCAACCCACTTCAGCAGGGGCTGCAGCCTACGCTGTCGTCAGCGACTCCCAGAAGCCCAGCTCCAGGTTGAGCTGTTGTTCAGCATCTTAGCTGTAGAGAGCAGTGTCACTGGCCCTCACCTGTGGGATCTGAACTGGGGCCCTCTGGTGTCCCAAGCCAGCTCTTAACCATCACGCCACTGGGCCGGCCCTGATAGTGTGTTTTGATGCACAATGCTTTAACTTTGATGTAGTTCAATTTGTCTATTTATTCTTTTGTTGTATATACTTTTATCATCATATTCAAGAAATCATTGCCAAATTCAATGTCATGAAGCTTCCCCTGTTTTCTTCTTAGAGTTTTATAGTTTTAGGTCTTTTTTTTTTTTTTTTTAGCTGAGCTATCCTGCCACCTGTTGGCAGCTCAGCGGCTAGTTTTAGGTCTTACGCTTAGATCTTTGACCCATTTTGAGTTACTGTTTGTATGTGGTGTTAAAGTAAAGGTCTGACTTCATTGTTTTGCCATGTGGCTGTCCAGTTGTTCCAACACTATTTGTTGAAAGACAGCTCTTCCCCTACTCGTCTTGATACCCTTGCTGAAAATCAATTGACCAAAAATATATGAGATTATTTCCAGACTCTTAGCTCTATTTCATAGATCTATATGTCTGTTTTTATGCCAGTACCATACTTTTTTTATTACTGTAGCTTTGTAGCATATTTTAAAATCAGGAAGTGTGAAACTTCCAACTTTATTCTTCTTTTGTAACATTGTTTGACTATTTGGGGTTCCTTGAGAGTCCATATGACTATTAAGATGGATATTTTATATTTTTGGAAAAACATTATTGGGATTTTGATAGGGATTGTATGGACTCTCTTTGGGTAGTACTGACATCTCAACAATATTGTCTTCTAATCCATGAAATAAAGGGTGTCTTTCCAGTTATTGGTATCTTCTTTAACTTCTTTCAGCAATGTTTTGTAGTCTTCAGTGTACAAGTCTTTCATCTCCTTGGTTAAGCTTATTCCTTAGTATTTCATTCTTTTCGATGCCATGATAAATAGAATCATTTTTCAAAAGCTTTTAAGCAGACAATTTTATGGTTAAATTGTTCTGTG